TTTTTGACAAAGGATTATGTTTGGTCACTTCCTGCCAAATCTTGCAGTATCAAATAATATCCTTCGGGGAAAGCCAATGTGTTACAAAATAATTTGTCTACAGTGTGCAGTGCTGCAAGGCTCACATTGTCCTCTCTGTTAGGAATGAGGCAAGGTAGAGAGGAAATGCACGCCAGTCTCGTGGCTCAGAGTAAAGGACAGGTTGGCATGCAATCTTAGGTGTTTCTTTAAGAATATATGTTATAGTGAACAACCAAACGATTTGTACTCACATATAAGAGATCAACATTATTACAATACCAGGTGGGCTATTAGGGGTTATTTGGTTAAAGAAAAATCTATAACAGATGCCATGCACAGATCTGTAATGCAGAGAGCCACCACAACGTAGAATAAGTTACCATCTGTGAGTTTTAAAGCACCCTGTAAAGTTTAAGTTTTAAAAGACTAATGAAAAAACATATCAAAAATAATTGACTGACTTGAAAGACTTTGAATGTATTGAGGTGAATATGTTTTTACTGAAATTTTTGTATGTGTTAAATGTTGTGTTACATGTTATGTATTGTTGTGTGTGGACAGGAAGAGCAGCCGTTAGCCTAGTGACCGTTAATGGGGATCTGAATAAAGAATAAAGCACTGAAATCATATTACAGAGCTGACTCACCCTCAAAGACACAGCTAAAGACACACGCACTTACCCCCTGGACGCTCATGGTTGCGATCAGTATGCAGCAACATCGCGATGGGCATTCCAACATTTTTGGAGCGGCCGGCAACCAGCACATTCCTTCCCACTGTCTCAATACCTGCACAAGCACGTTTTCAAGGGTAAATGTTTTATCAATAAATTATGTTGACATTGAGCAAGAAAGGAAAGAAATAATTTGACAAACATAAAACTTTACAAAAGATCACAGAGAGCTCAGGGCTGTACTTGACCTTTGGCAGACCACACAGGCATGTAGAAGGTGGTTATTTTGCCAGCTGCAACACAGCCTGGCACCATAATGTCACGTATGCAACAATTATTACATTCACTGTCAGCCAAGAAAACAACAAAAGACATTAAAGTGATTGACAGTGGGAGGACAGGTATGTCTGTATCTCAGTGTGATGAGAAATTGGCTGATCAACTGATAAAGGCTGCTCCCTGGCCCTGACAACAAATATACTTTAGTTAATGCAATCTTGGGCAGCACGGTGGCACAGTGGTTAGCGCTGTTGCCTCACAGCGTGAAGGTTCCAGGTTCAGGCCCCACCTGGGACCTTTCTGTGTGGAGTTTGCATGTTCTCCCCGTGCTTGCGTGGGTTCTCTCCGG